CCTCTGTATTGACTATAATGAAGACAAGGAAGACAGTGGTGTTATTGACTTGTTGTTTTATTGTAGGTTTGAAATCAGTTGTTTTCCTTTCCTACAGCTCTACTGTGAGCTAGCAGCATATGATGGTTTGTGATTTGACAACTATCTTGCATTTGTCATTTCAGAATACCTGACGGTGTTTTCCCAGATGATTGCATTCCATGATCCAGAGCTGAGTAACCACCTTAATGAAATTGGTTTTATTCCAGATGTAAGTGCTAAGGGTCCTTATAAGTATTATTCAGAGGAATTAAAAAATGGGAAATGAGGGCAACTGGGATGAAATGCCTTTGCACATTGTTCAGTAGCACTTCAACAAAAGTGAAACTTCCACATTAATGGACCTTTCTGAATAGGCTGATAAAATGATAAAGTTTGACTCTTATTTTACATGTTTCAGTCTTTCCTGTTCTGTTGGGATGATAAATACAAAAAAAAATACTATTAACCAGTTACTATAACTTACAAATTCATCTTAAAAGGTGTGTATATTTTTGCAATGTAGATTAATATACAAAAATTAATGTGTCCCTAAATTACTAGCAGCAAAATTACTGCAAACTAATTAAGTGCTGTTGATTAACACAATAGACATATCATTTTACAAGTAATTGAAAAAATATGTGCAAGTGTGGTTAATCTTGTAGATATGTCAGACCTTGGAAAATGCTTAGCAGTCGTTTGCTGGAGTCTATCAGAAACATGGGACAAGTGTATAACTTAGACACAAGTTTTATGCTTTCCTTGGAAAGAAGTCTGTAAGATGGAGGAAAATGAAAATTGAGAACACAGACAAAACGTAGAAGAGAGGGTAGACTATGCTGGAAAAAGTAAAACAGGACCTTCTTTAGAGGCTCACTTCTAGCTATGAGTGTAAATAGTAAAGCTTTCCTCCTCCTTTTTAGAGAGGTGCATGTAGTCCAAAAAGCCAAGATAAAAGTAAAAATGTTTGTCTGCCTACTATAGCATTATTGAAGTTTATGACTGATGTTTCTGAAATGTACATTTAGACAAGGCCATAGAGATAACGTTGTTATTTGTTGTGGTCTATATCATTCTATATTTGGCATTTAGAAATTTTGTAATTACAAGTTAGTCATAAGAACATGATGACAGAGGAGGGAAGAGGGAAACTGAAGTCAGGAGATGTTCATGTAGAAAAAAATTTCTTAAATAAGAAATTTATATGCATTGTTTCTATATGCAATATAAAGATTACTTTATCGGAAAAGTCTTATGCTTATTAGGAAATATTTTAAGTTGGACTACCAAGGCCAAGCCTCTGAAAGTCCTTTGTTGTGCACAGTTCCTGAATGAATTTATGGGTCTTTGGGACTGGCAGATATTCATTATCGCTGTTAACAAAGATTGTAATGGAAAAGCAAGTATATATTTTCATTTGTGGAGGTGTTTTAATGTAATAATGTTGTTTGATTGATACAAACGTAAAAGATATTGCAGTGTTAAAATGAGCAGAAGAGAAAGCCAGTGTATTGCATTATAAAGTGAGAAGTTTGACAAGGCCGTGTATTGCAGATGACCCATGTCTGAAGAGGGCAGGTGGGAGGAAGATGAAAAGAAGGTAATGAGAAGTGAGAACATTGATCTGTAGAAAGCCTAGATATTTGAGTAGACGAAGGGCAGCAACATTTAAGTTCCTGAGGGAGAATCAATTTTGCAGCATCACTGTGTAAATGTACTCGATGCTTATTTGTTAAAGGCCACAGATGACCAAAGCAATTCCTCTGTGTATTTTGTCCAGGAAACTAGTTCCCACTGAAGTGGTAAAGATGTAATTTTCTTGACCACCTTACGGATCCTCATTTAGACTACTAATCTTTATGTGAGAGCTCAAGTTATATTTCAGTGCTCTTCACTGAAAACTTCCAAAGTATGAGTCAGATGGAATAGTTTAAAATCACATTTTGTCATATTTTAGTTTGTGTTTTGTTAATCATTGGACAGCATATAGTCACACATGAGCCTTGTCTCTAAGAATTACAGTCTAGAAATTGTTAGGTAATGTAGTAAATAATTGCAAAACAGAGGTATATTTTTGGAAAAAACCTCTTGCATTGACAAATGCTTGTTCTAAAATTAACACTAACCTCTGAAGAGAAGTTGTCCTTCTAAATTGTCTGTCTCATTTTTGGGGTTTTTTGAACAGCTAAAAGTTGTTCTGACTTTCAGATGAGTGAGCTAGTGATTTTTTTTTGTACCCGTAACAAGGCGGCACAGGATCCATCAAGGTGAAGTATGTGCGCTGTAGTAATGAGATCTGAACTAGAGTTTTGTGCTTGAGTACTAATCCTATCAAAGTAAATCCTGATTAATCTTTCATCATTGAAACGCAGGCTCCGCTGCAGGGAAGATTGCGTTTCCTGGCACCCTTCTCATTTGCTTCAGGTCACGTAGCTCTCGGAATATTGAATACTGCTGAAGCTTGAATTGTTCTGAATATTATTAGCTGATGTGGTGCCTGGATTAGGTACATTGCTGTGGCTGTGTGATTTACATGTAAATACAGGGGTGATATATATAGTGAACCTTACACTTCTTCTTTGCTTACTCTCCCAAAGTTTATAATCTTCCCCACCCTATATAATGCTTTATAATATTTTCCTTAATTTGTTGAATAATTCTGACCCTAAACAGCAGACCATTTTGAACTGAAGAAAAAAAAGGAAGTGTACTATGTTACTAAAAGTGTAACTATAGCCATAAATTATTCTAAAGCACTTTCAGCTGCAAATTTTGGAAGCTAGAAACAGTTGTCATATAGTCCTTAACAGATGTCAAAGTCTGGCTGCAGTTACTTTTATCATTGTGCTGGAGCTGCTAGCACAGGTGGATAGATACCTTTGCTTGATTTGGGTGATATGCAGGAGCTGTCAGTAATAGAGGCCTCATCTAAATGAAAATAAAAATCCTGCCCTTGAAGTACTTTATCTCTGTTCTGCTGCACAATTACTTGGTAATGAATCTGAAGGAGAAGTTTCTTGCTGGTACTTTTTATCTTGTGAAGAAAGCAATAATTCCTTGAATTTTGTTTGTGTAGGTGCATATGGATGGGTAGAATTTAATGTTAAAAATTTGACTAGACTTGTATTATCTTTTGCACCTTTCTGTAGCCTGTAAATATATGATTAATTTTCTAGGCACCATATAGGATTGAACCTAAGTATGTGTATGTGTGTATTTAAAAGATGGAACGTGAAGGTGAAAGATCCTGAGTTTATAGAATAAGCTATTTCATTTGGAAGGGGCCTACAACAGTCATCTAGTCCAACTGCCTGACCATTTCAGGGCTGACTTAAAGCGTGCTGTTAAGGGCATTGTCCAAATGCCTCCTAAACACTGACAGCCTTGGGGCATCAAGCACCTTCCAGGAAGCTTTTTCTGGTGTTTGATCACCCTCTCAATCTTCTGTAGGTACAAGTGTGTAAAGCTCTCATCTTCTGGAGGATCAGTCAAATAATGAAACAATCCCGACAGTTATAACAGACAATAAAAAAATCCTTGTGGAAAAGGCTTTCATTAAGATTTGAGCCAATATCTCCGAGAGTTTTGAATGTTTAATGGAAGATGCACTTTTCTCAAAATATGGCCACCTAGCTATGGACAGGTAAACATCTTCACCCTGCTGAAAAGCAACACAAACTGCATCTCCAAGCTCAGGTACTGAGCAGAATTTGTCATAGCAGAGCACCATTGGAAAGGAGGCTTTAGATAGGGATGATGGAAAGATGGAGAATGAAACCTAGTCTGAGGTCAACAGATTTCAATTGTAACAAAAAAAAAAAAAAAAACCTGTGGATTTATTGTTTGAATGGGAATTGATTTTAAGGGGTTGCTGTGTGCTTCATATATAAGAAATGTCCAAATCCTTACTTCAAAGCACAAAAGATCTTGTATTTTACTAGCAAAGCAAAATGATAATTATGGAACTGCTCATCTAAAAGTAACTCTAAAGAAAACGAAGCATTGAGTTTACAGTCTCTTAATGTGACTTATTCTCAGGCCGTCCCAGTGGTTCAGATGCTACTTTGATTATACATTAGGTATACTTCCCGGCTACGGAGAGTTAAGTGTCGTTAGAAACCACAACCCCGCAATGTTTCAAGGTTCAGCAGTAAAGGGTTGAAAACCTCTCTTCCCGGAGCGGGTTATTCCGGGGGCAGGGCACGGCGCTGCTGCGGCGGGCGGTCGCTAGAGGGCAGCGTTTACCAAGGCTGCGGTCGGTGCGGTGCCCCGGAGCAGCCGGGGGGTGACGGCGGGGCTGGGGGGCTGCGGCTCGGTGCGGCATCCTCAGTCCGCCTGCTGCTCTTCGACTGGCCGAGTGGATAATGCCACCAGTGTTGTGGCTTTCCTGTGGTTGCTTGTTAAGAGTAATCATAACATTTTCAGGGTTACCAAGGCCTCCTTGTCTTAAAACATTTATTAAAAACAGAGGGGAAACTCCCTTCAATACAAGCTCGCCTGATAACCTCCTACTGAAGGTGTTAGAGCTACTTTTCATGTCACTGTTAATAGTTTTGGTGAGGGTGGTTTAGAGTAAAGCAGTGCTTTTTCTTATGGTTACCTTTTAATAATCTTTAAAGTTTCTCATTTTGTGTATATTCTTGTGTATTTTTTTGTAAGTGCATATACAATAGAGATGTTTGTGAAATTAGGAGAAAGTTCGGATCTGCTTTGGTAAAACATTTTAGTCAAATATATGAAAAGGAGGAAATAACTTCTTTTAAATACCAAGGAATTAATGTAGTTCAAAATGACATCCACATAATATGTACCTCCAAGCAAAGAGGAGCCTCAGGCTACTAAGCTTGTTTTCCTACTGCATTGGAAGTAAGATATTGCATACAAACAAGCAGGTAAACAGGTATTAGCTGATAACAACCACAGTAGGGGATATTTCAGGGAACAGGGCATGTTATTATTCACTAGAATGCCATCTATTTAAGGCATGACATAGATATACTTGGGGAAATAGTATGAATGTATTGCAAGATTAAAATGGTGATAGAAATTGATTCTGGTTTAGATTTTGAACCCTTAAAATCAATTGGCAGGTTGGAGGCCAAGCTTCATAAAAGTCTCCTGAATATTAAAAGTGGTGAACAGTCTGGTCATTGCAGCTTTTTTAGTTTATGAACAGTATGGTTCCAATATTATCAGATGCTGAGATGAAGCCATAAGAATGAAATTTAGAGAGAGAGATACTAAGAAGATTTTCAGCAAATGTGTGCATCATTTAGTCAGAGCCATAACACAGTTAAGAGTTTATGGAATAAGTAGTAATTTATTAACATAATATCAATTATGCTTTCTGCTCCTCATTTGTTTACTTCCAGGAGAAGCTTAATAGGAGGACTAATTTGCACTTTTTATGAGCTAAAAAGTAATATGTTAAGTTTTATGCCTAACTGTAAATCTTCAGAAGTATAAAACAGCACATGAGCTATGCAGCTGAATAAAATTTGACAATGATCATCTCACTCTTGCGTTCCTAATTTATGGGGACTTTTCTGTGCAGTTTGTTTCAAGAAAATGGATTCTGTTGCCTGCAACATGCTGAATACTTCATTGAAAAATAAGTAACTCTCAGTGTATTATAAATGCTTAGCTCTTCACACTCTATATGATGTCATGAGGATGAAAGTTTGCAGAAATTAAAGGTTCTCTGTAGCTGTTGCAGCAGCACAAGTTCTTAGACAGTCTTGTAGTGATGTAAGTGCTGAACCAGGACATCATCAGATGGCACCTGCCTTTAAAGGTCACAGTAGAACTACATAAATGCTTAACTGATACTATGTTTGAGAATAAAATTGTTAGTTCCTTCACTGAGAAGTATACATTTTAGTAAATACCAACAGAGGAGAAAAAGGCAGATGTAGTTATTTTTTACCTTGGAAATTGCAATTTGCACTTTTAGTTCTTTATATAAAGCCATTTTTTTCCATAGTCAAAAGGATATATTGAATCAAGTTGGTTTATCCTTTTTCAGGCATCCTTGGCTAATTTTTGCTTAGCTTAGTGAGAATTGTGACAGTTTAATGGAGCAGGTTTTTTAGTTATTTAAGACTTTTGGTGTTATTTTTTGCAAACGAGCCTAGTGAGGGTGGTGGTTGGTTTTGTTACTGGTTTTGATACAGTATTACAAACTAGTAATTTGAAAGACATTAGAACTGGGGATGGGGGATGGAAAAAGCTCAGGGGGGCTAAGAGTTGTATGGTAGTGGATCTACCACTGCATTTATTTTCCATTTTAAATACATTCATATGAAATAGCCAATTATTAATGTAGTTGATGGACAACATTAGTTCTCAAAGCATTTTTTTGTTTTCTTCCCTTCATCACCACCTTTTGCAGCTTTATGCAATTCCTTGGTTTCTTACAATGTTTACACGTGAGTATGCTTTTCCTTATTCTCTGATTAAATGTTCTTTTATTTCTTAAGTATGTTTTTTCTCACTTTTTCAGCTAAAGCTTTCCGATTTGGTATAATATGTAATTTAATAGGATGCTTGTAATTTGCAAGGATGTGTTCTGGTTTGAAACTCAACACTGCCTGTCACTTACTGTCTGTCCTGGTTTGGCAATAGATAGCATTTCTATTTTTTTTTTAATTATTATGTTGAATTTGAACTGGATTATTTTACACATGAAGTATTTAGGATGTATGCAAAGGAAGCTGTTATCTACTGGAAAGAGACATAATAATAGTTAAAAAACCAAACCAAACCTCACCACCATCCCCTGCCCTCACCCAAATAATGGAAGAAACTGTAACTTTGTTTTTGAAGATCATCAGAAAAAGCTTTTCTTTTATTGCACTTATACACACTTACTCTAGTAGCACTATGTTATTTGTGCATATATGTTAGGAACAAAGAGAACTTTATAATTTGGTGAGCTTTTAATTAAAGAGGACAAAGCTAATAAAACAAGTCTAGAAAGCAATTTAAAAACTTCTTTCCTCAAAGATCTCTGTGATTTTTTTCATGTCATGTCGACATTGGCAGACTTGGAATTCAAACTTTTTAAAAAGTGGCAGAATTAAAAGAGTTGATGGATTATTTCTCTGATGAAATATCAAAGAATTTAATGTGAGATTCTTGATTGCAATTTCTAAAGATCTTGACTGTTAAGAACTGGTTCCTGCAGCTGCCTGTTTTTCTATAACTTTCATGAGAATCACCAAATTTGGAAAACCAAGATGATTTCCTTGGCAATCAATTGCAATAAAATCTTAGAACTATTTAGTTGGAGGATATCTTATTTTAAGAGAGCCACCTTCAGCTTTATATGCTATTTTTACTAGGCCTTTCTTCTTGTCTTTCCTTTATTCTGCCAGTATTTGCTTTATTCTGCTCATTCTTTTGTCTAATTGTAACTAATTGATCTTATTGATTAACTCATTAATGTCTTCATACTGTGAAAAACTGATATGGGTGTCCTAGTGCATAATTACACTGTACCAAAATAAAAAAAATTGCCTAATTTTGCATAAGTTTGAGATGTGAAAACCCACACACTTCCAAGTATTCATTCATGAAAGAGGACAGTGATGATTTCCAGAATAATCAAACTGTGTATGAAGACAAATACGATCCTAAAGAGTTTGAGTCCTCTTTGCTCCCAAATAAAAAAAGAACTAAAAAAGGGGAGATGAAAAAAGTGCATAGGCAACTCATTAACTCTCTGAACTTGTGTATATGCTTATGGGGTTTTTTTTATTGTGCTTATTTATCATACAGATGTCTTTCCTTTGCACAAAATTTTTCACTTGTGGGATACATTACTGCTTGGAAATTCCTCCTTCCCATTCTGTATTGGAGTTGCCATACTTCAACAGCTGAGGGATCGTCTTCTGGCTAATGGATTCAATGAGTGCATTCTTCTTTTTTCAGATTTGCCAGGTACAGAAAAAAGTATTTCTTCCTGCTTTCTCTGTCTTCCCCATTGTGTTGCTGAATAAAGTATGTGCCTGCATGTAAATATGTGTTTTGAAATCATGGTAGATTTAGGCAAACTCACTGCCAGAGTGTGTGTGGGTCTTAACTACAGTTTGTTGTAGTTGGTTGAAGTCTTTTTACTGTCATCAGAAAGAATTCAGTAAGCCTGTTGTTATTTCAGGTGAGGGTTGGAATATTTTGTTGTGAAATTTAGAACAATTTAAAGTAATTCATAAGTGACTATTTTTAGACATACCACATATAGAAACAATCCAGTTGATAAGAATTTCTTTTAGAAATAAGTTTAGTACTGTTCTGAACAGTGCTTTTCCACTTTGATGCTGGTGCTAGCCTGTTTTCCTCTCAAACATAATTAAACTTTTACTGTGGAAGCAATCAATGTAAAAGGATTATGGAAAGCAGTATTAGAAGCCATTGAAATTGCTCTGTGTTAAATCAGTTTCCATTTGAAATTTAAAGCTTTCAGAAGAACTTTGAAAATTGTACTGGAGGCTCATGACCATTGTGCAGAAGCTCTGTCTCCTTGTTCAGTGGGAGGTGGTTAACCTGTCCATACAAACAAGTGTTACATCTTATAAAAAACATTACCATTAACCGTGAAGCTTAGATCTTCTTTCAGAGCAAGTATCTAGTGAGACAGTAGAATGCATTTGAACTGAGTAAGCCATGTCAACTGGAAGATGTGTTTTTAATTTGTAATAACATGAATAGGAAGGCTACCACGCTCCGAACATACTTATGTTCTTGTCTCCAACCCAGGATTTTACTAACATAATAGACATGTTGGTTAAGAGGTGGCACTGTTTTAATTGTGTGACTTTTCTTTAGATAACTTTAACTTCTGGGTAGTTCCTGGGCTATTTATAGATTTATTGGGCTCTGTTTGAACACCATGTGTGCAATTCAGTAATTCATAATTTGTTTAAACAGAAGTTGTTCTTCTTCAGAAGAGCTGAAGGAGAGAATGAAGTTTGGAGGAACATTGAAGCTAAAAAGTCTTAAGTGTTGTAGTCTTCACTACTGAATAGTTTACAGAGGTCTAGAATATGGCAGCAAGCAGGCTGAGCTTGAGTGCATGATTGCATAAATCGGTCTCTCAGAAGTTCAATGAGTTGTCATAAATGAAGCTCTGTGATTTCTTTTAATACTGTTGTTACAAATTCTGTTTCTCACTGTATACCCTTCCACATGGGCTCAGATTTCAAAATTTCACTTGTCTCCTACTTATTAGTTTAGTACTATGCATTTGCTACTGTATTTTTCAATTTATTTAATTAGGCCATTCCTTATGATGTGGGTTTTTCATATTCAGTCTATATGCTTAGTCACTTCAAATGCTCGTATTAAATTTAACTGGATATCTTCACATGGCTGAAATGTGAGTGCTAAACTAAAAGATAGTCTCTCTTTGCCTCCTCATCTCCCTCATTTATTAGCTATATGTCTTAGTTAAATATAGATTCATTAATATTTAACTTATTTTCTCACCTAAGGTCATTTTTCCATACTCTTTTTCCTTGGAGGGTGCTAAATTATAGATTCCAATTTATCATGAACCAGCTGAATTACTGGCAGTTGAAGTACTTTATGCTGAGATCATGTGTAAGAACACATAAGCATATCTGTTTATATAATAAAATTAATTCACTAAAATTTATAGTGTTGTAATGTATATGTGTTCTGCTGGTTATAGTTGATGACAACTTTGCTGAAACTCTGATAGGAAATACCAGTTTCCAAAAAGATGTGCATTTTTTTAACACTGGTGATGTCTGTAACATTTTGGATGTCAGCAGTGGCACACTGAATATTGTAAGGTTACTCTAAAGCATATCATAAAATAATACTAGTAAGACGACTAATGGAAAAAAGTGTGAGGGTGGAAGATAATCCTAATGTGACTTAAATGTTATTGGTCTAGCTTAATCAGTAACTTTTTGAACATATAATTATCGTAACCTTGTCCCTTCTCTTTCTGACCTGAGTCTTTTTCTCATTAAGAAGTATTGACTGATTATGCTTCTTGTCAGCTGTGGCTTTCAAACAAAACTTCTATTATTTTTGTTACAATAAATTGGGTGCCGAAGATGAGAACTTCCTGAAAGTAATTTACAAGCAACCTTCACCTGAAACTGGGTCATCCCCAGGAAGAGATTATTTTGTTCAAAACATCTGCAATAATTTTAATCTAAAATCAGTTGTTGCTCAACAGTCTGAAACTCCTGTAATTTTCAAGCTTTTGTGCACTGGAATTTCAGGCTGCTGATGAAAGCAACTTGTTTTCCAAACTGATAAAAGTATTCTACTGCAATCTTGAAACTTTGTGGAACACTTTTTAAAGTTTTTTTTGTTTTTACGAAACAAACAAAATCCTCGGTACTTTATTTCCAGTTCACTGTATATAACACAGTTTCAATTTCTGGTTAAAAAAGTTAATGATGTGAGGAAAAAGAAGCAACCTCATGCCATTATTGATTACTTGATGCTGAAAACCCTTTCCAATGCTTGTCTCAAAGCTTTGGCCATATTTTGTCTACGAAGTCAATACAATTGGACATTACTCGCTATTTTTGGAAGCTCTATTTGAAATTTTAATTTATTTTCATATAGTTTAAACAATGTCCTAGCATATTAGGAAATTTATGTGAAGAATTTGGCAAAATATTTGGTTAATTAAGAATACTAGAAAGTTCCTTTGCTGCAGCCACAAATGTCCTAGTTTGTTCCCTGTGGAGGCTGTATGAAAGGGACGTATATCAACTGCTAAAACTTAAATAGAATTAGATTGTTTAGGAAATAACTACCCAAGGTGTTTGTTTTTCTTTAAATTCTCTTTCATTTGTTCTTTCATATTTTTTCCTTGTGTTTAAGGAGCTCTGTTAACTATGAACTTTATTGAAACAATATAACTACCGGAGAAGATTTAGGAGGTACTATTTGAGACACACAAACAAAACCAACCCTGAAGTCACTGCTAATTTTTATGTGTAGTTTAGAGATATAGTAAATTTTGTCCTATTCAGGTGATGCAGAGAGAGCAAAGACAGTATGCATTACCTTTTTTTTTTCCTAAAAGTCTGACATGTAGCAGAATGTGGTAGGAACATACAGTGCCACCCCTCCACCTCTTCTGCCCTGCCTGTTTCTCCTGAAAAGCCTGTAACCATCCAACAGGGCACTCCAGTTAACAGGTCTCATCCCACCAGGTTTCACTTGCACCAATGATGTCAAATCTCTGGGACTGGGCCAAAGCTTAGAGCTCTTATTATTTTTCCACATGCCAAGTTGATTAGTGGAGAAACATTTCAGGTGTGGTATATTGTAGCCAACACCTCCTGAGACAGATTGAGAGATCCCATGTGTGCTGTTTTTCTCAAGTTTTGGCACACCATCCCATCGCTCATCACTGGCAAGCCTGGTTTTGTCCCTTTCCACCATCCAAGTTAGTTTAAAGCTCCTGCACTAAAACTCTTTTTCCCTTCTGAGATAGATGCATCCTGTCAGGTGTCAGTAGACTAGGTATTGAGTAGATCATCCCATGGTCAAAAAACCGATTACACCAACCTCGGAGCCACTCGTTGACCTGGTCTATTTGCCTATTCCTATCAATATTATTCATTGTTACTGGAAGAAGCAAGGAAATCACTACCGGTGCTCCTGATCCCTCTACCAATTGTCCCAGTACCCTGAAGTCTGTTTTGATTGGCCTCGGACTTCTCTTTGTTTTTTCATTGCTGCCAGTTTGAACAATTAATAGCAAATAGTAGTCGGAGAGTCTTTTTAACTGGAAAGTTTTCCAGTAATAAAAAAAATTATTAGTAAAAATTATTAGTAAAACTAGTAGTCGTAAAAAAAAAATTCTGAACATGTTCCTCATCTTTGCTGTGTTAAATTGGCTTTTTGTAGATGCAGGCGTATTTCATAATGCAGTTCCTCAAGATTATTGACTTTGGTACAGGAGCAAAGAGATTCATTAGGGCACACCTGCTCACCAAGGCTGTTTAATAGTGTCAGACTCTGTAAGATTGATGTTGTTTTACCTGAAGCTGTGAGTTCTTTAATTATTCACCTTTTCCACTTGTAGTGACACAAACAAGACGCAGTTCTAGATTATAGATTCTACCCTCTTGAGACTAAAGACAAATGCTGGAGTGAGTGACAGAGTAAGGAAAAAAGTAACCAAATCCTTTATTTTATTCTGTAGTTGTCACTGGCAGAAGAAAATCAAATATATATCCTTTAGCAAAGGACTGTCTATCACAAGAGGTGGTGTTTCATAAAAAGGGTGAAAAGCGAGTTCATCAGTAGAACTTTCCTAGCACATGTCTTAAAACACACAGTCTGACACGCGGCTTATGCCTTCTGTTTCTTGACAGAAGCTTGATAGTGTTGCCCGTAACCAAAAGAAACACAAACCAACAGAGTGCCGGTTTATGCGGTGCTTTATTCGGGGCCCCGGGAACCTGAGGACTAGCGTCCAAAGTCAGGATTCCGAAGACCCTCATTTTCAGTTCAGCTTTTATACACAAACAAGTTTATGTGCAGTTTCCACGGCAAACCAGTTACAGTTTCCACAGCAAACCAGGTGCAGTTACAAACAAGCTCATACTTCATACTGATAACAATTAATAATCATCTGCTCCAATCATAAATCTGCTTAAGTTGTCTTATCCCTAGAAACTGTTTAACAGACCTTAACCACATCCTAGGTAACAAATCGTTGCATACATGCCTGACTAGATCCTTTGATTATGGTTTCCACTTCACACACAAACAAAGTTGCTACTTTGGAGTGTTGCTTTCTAGGCCTACTCTTCTACTAAGCCTTAGCCATTCTACTACTAATTTAAATTGCTGTGCAACATGTCCCCCCTTTTGAGCATTCTTCAGGCTTTGCTTGCAAGGATGCTCAAATACAGCAATCTTCAGGCTGTAGT